GAAACAGGGATACATTAAGGACTGGAAGTCCGTGGCGTGGCACAACCACCATCTTTTTCGCATTTTGCTTTTCCTTGATTTTTCAAGTTGAACACGATTAGCAGAAATTTGTATGAAAACAATCAATATATTATGATGCACTATTTCATTATTATTCATGTACACTTTAGCATTAATATCGACTTGATTGCGAAAGATCTTTTTCTAAGTATAATCTTCAATTCGATCTCTTGGTCAGAAGTATATTAACTGATATGTGAGGTTTCTACGTATTATCTGTACTCGATCATTTTAATTTCAAAACTGCGAGCAAATGCTACATCAACGACACAAGACTAAAGGAACTATTTGTTAGTCGTGAAGTAACCATGGCGTTCTTCGATCGCCATATTGCAGTTCTTAGGATAGATTAATAGATTGTGGAATTGTTTTAATTTATGACTCATCAAATTATATGTGCACATCTGAAATAGAAATTTAACTGTACATTACCTACATGAATCAGAGACACTAAGGCATGCATCATTCGTTTGATCAGTTTATAACAGACATTAAAGCTCTATGAATATACATTATTTATGTTTTGAGAAAAATGACATTTTTGTTATAAAAAAAATATATATAAAATAAATGTTATATTATATTAAGAAACAGAATTGTAATGCTAGAGTCTCAATTAGTTTTGCAAAAAAAAAATAAATGGTAGTTTCAAAATTTTTGATTATCTCTAAAGATGAATGTTCCAGGAACGATAATATTATAATTAAGCATGGTTTATAATATAGCAAACGTAGATCGAACAACGGTCGACATGATGTAGTACGGTTTTGAAGATGTGAAGTTTAAAGCATATAGATCTTATATAAAAATATTCAGAGAAAATGTGAAGTAGGGATACATTACGATTATGTTTGGAAGTTTACAACATATGATAATCTCCATCTCTTCCGCATCTTAGCGTGTCTTTGAATTTTCGAATTAAACATGAGTAGCAAAACTTTGTGGGAGGACAATAATCTATATTATAATCTACTAATTGTAAATATTATTAATTACTTCATTGTAAATGTAATCTTTTCTAAATGTAATCAAGACCGTTTCTTCGTGATAAGTGTGTATAAAAGTGTATCAAACACAAAGTGAAATTTGAAGTATGTATTTGTTAATTGTGAAGTAACCACAGCGGTCTTTGATTGACGTTTATTTCTCGAGATGAATTACACAAAAAATGTAATTATTGTAACATAATAAATGACGTGCACATGCATAAAATAAGAATGTTAGACTAAGCGATGCATACAGTTTGCTATCATGAGTAACTCTAAAACAAAAACAAAAAAAATAATCTGTTTATAATAATTGTTGGATACAGAATTTAGTATTCTCTCTTTTTGCGCAGATTATATAATATTTTAGAATTTTTCAGAACTATATTTATTTCATCTCAAATGGAAACAAATAAGATACTGATATACATTAATATGATCGTATGTAGAGTATGCATGTACAAGTGTTTATCATTATGTAATAGCATCTCTATACATATAAACATAAAATTTCGCGCGATTATATATATTATTCGCAATGAAAAAAAAGCATTTCCCGTAGTAGTTGCTAACACATTTTTGTACAATCATGATTTAATTATTATTGATTCCTGTTTTTCTCCCACAAGAATGCGACATGTGTAAAAATTGTATCAAGATTATTAGGTACGTAGTAATACAACCCACCATCTAAAAGTAAAACAAAAAATATGTATATTTTAATATTTATAACAAATAATTGATTACTTACCGCTGCAAGAAGTGTTGCATTAATATTAAGACCTTTCACCGCAAAAATATTTTCCCGATGTAGTATTTGTAAAGAAAAAAGCTGCAACTGTAACGTCAGATCGCAATATAACTAAATCGAAAATATGAAACTACAAATATAATCATGCTTTAGTAAATTGAATTGTTAAAAATCTTTAGTATATATATTTTGCGAAAAATACATTGACAAAATTACAAAAAACTGTAATACCTCGTATTTTATTTTCTTATTATTGGTGGTGTTCAATAAATCGTGAATGGTGGTACGAATCTCTCGAGCCTGATTTTTACTCGTCTCGCACGCCCACACAAGTAGCATTATTATCGAACCATTATACATAATAGCCGGTAAAACCTTAATAAGAAAATTTCTGTCCAAACTAATAAATATCCCATCTTGCCAGCGTACGAGATAAAAGTACATCTCAAAGGTAATAACTGAAAAACTTGTAACTATAGTACCAAGGAGTTGTAAATTAAATATTACATTCAACATTTGCACTGTGTCGCTAATCATCATATGTCTCTTTTTTAGGTTTTTAAGTTTTAACAGCAAAAATTTATTGCTCTGTGTGTGATAGATAATCCTGGGGACAGATGGTTCTATATCGTTTCTTATCATGTGCCATTGCATATGCATCAGATTATCGTTGATTTCCTTGAAACAAGCCTTCAATATACAAACACAATTTATATACATCATAATTATTTGTAATACCAGTAGAGCGAAATACACTGTCAAGGCCCCAATCAGAACAAAGAAAAAGTTGATCGTATTTTCCAGAATTTTTTCTGAAAAATTTAAATATAATTGCACAAGTCTGAAGATAATACTCAATATGTCCTTGACGTGAATAAATCTGGACATCTTTTGGTACGACTTCGGGGGTAATTTTGACGAGATCTCCCATATTGTCTGTAACAAGCGCATTCGCGGACCACTTAAGACATGCGTGACGATCACTGTGAAATTGCTAAACGCATAGTAAATAACTGCATGTATATCCCAGGTTATGTCTCCAAAGATTCTTTTCGAAGTAACAATGTCGTGAATGAGTACTAAATTTATAACGCTGAAAACGCTGATAACGATGGATGACAGAATGTAGCGCGGTTTGGAAGTTTCGAAGGTCGAAGTGTTGATCTTGTATGAAAATAGTCCTAGAACACGGCAAACGATGAAACAGGGATACATTAAAGATTGGAAGTTCGTAGCATGACACAACCACCACCTTTTCCGCATTTTGCTTTTCCTTAGTTTTTTGAGTTAAACGCGATTAGCAGAAATCCGTAGGAGAATAACAATGTATATTATGATGGACAATTTACATTGTTATTTATATACACTTTAGCAGATATAATTGCAAAAGGTTCTTTTCTATGTGTAATTTTCAAGTCGGTCTCTTTGCAAGGAATATGTAAATTTATATACGTGGTCTCTATGTACTATCCATACTCGATGATTTTAAACTTCAAACTGCGAGCAAGTGTTGTGTCAAAGAGACAAAGCTAAGAAACCATTTGTTAGTCATAAAGTAACCATGGCATTCTTCGATCGCCATAGTGTCCACCCTTAAGATAGATTAATACAAATATTGTGAAATGATTCATCATATTATATGTGCACATATAAAATAGGAAAGAGACTCTACAATATTCACATGAATCAGTGATATCTAAGACATTATACATTATTAATGATCAGTTTATGATGTGTCTGTAGTATCTAAAGTTCTATTAAAGTATATTATTTATAACACAACTAACTTCGAGAGCGCCTTTACGGTCACGGCTGGATCTTAGATGCCTAATAAATTCTATATGAATTTTTCTGAAATCCCTGTACAGTCGTTAGACTGCGCGCCGATTAAATGTTCGGACTTGAAACGTAATTATTAGCTCAAGTGATACATGAAAATAAATAAAAAACTAATATACATTTAAGTATGATAACTAACTTATATGTAGTATGCACAAGTCTTTGTTATTTGTGTAATAGCATTTCTATATAAAACATCGCGTGATTGTGTACTATTAGCACTGACAAGAAATGGTATTTCTAGTATCTAACACATTTTTATACAAACATATTTTAATTATTACTTAATATTGATTTCTGTTTTCCTGTCGCAAGAATGAGATATGTTTAAAAATTGTATCAAGATTATTAGGTATGTGGTAATATTACCCACTATCTAAAAGTAAAACACAAAACTGTATAATAGATACTTTAATGTTTAAAACATAATAAATATAATAGATATTTAATATTTTTTTAATATTTAAAACAAATAATTCATTACTTACCATGGTAAGAAGTGTTGCATCAATATTAAGACCTTTCGCCGAAAAAATATTTTCCCTATGTAGCATTTGTAAAGAAAACAACTGCAACTACAACGTCAGATCGCAAAATAATTAAATGCAGAACCGAAAAAATAAAACTAAAAA